TTCTTGGTATTCTATTTTAAGTCCGACGTGTGTTTTTGGACATACAATGTCGGATCGCATAAGAGTATCGGGTCGTAAAGTGTGAGGACATAAATCGTGAGCTGCGAACTTTTAACCCCTACGATTTGGTCGTGCAGTTTGAGCTGGAGCTACGTGCAATAATTGAAAATATCGAACAGTGTATGCCCGGCTTTTGGTTGATTGGACACCCCAAATTGGCCTCAGGAGTGAGTTTGCGTGGTTGTGTGTCTCTGTGTGACCCTGCGATTGACTGGCGGACCGTACAGGGTGTACCCCGTCTCTCGCCCATTGACTACCGGGATAGGCTTCAGTTTCCTTCCACGACCCCATTAGAGGATAAATGGTTACGATAATGGATGAATGGATGAACTGTACTAACAGAGGTGCGGTTTAGGACAGAGGTTCTCTTACAGCAGCCCCTGGAGGCAGTGGAGGCAGTAGATGTGTCCACAGGAGTTCTGCTGGGGGTTGAGCACCACGCCGTTGCAGATGGGGCAAACAAATTCCTCCTTGAGCTTGGTCACAAACTTCAACGAGCGCTGGATGGAGGTCAGCTCTGACTCCCAGGAGCTGGCGGGGCCGGCTGACCTGGTCCTGGACTCCCTGGAGTCCGGCCTCAACTCCTCCGACCTTTCCAGAGACCCCTGGGACTGCGGACCGGATGGTTGGGGTTTTCCGGAGTCTGCTGTCGCCATGAGTCTGCAGAGCAAAGAAGCAAAACCATAAAATACAGACCGTCCGTGGAATTTCCATCTCATCATTCTGGGAATGATCTATTCCGATTTCCGCTGAGATCCAGATGTCAGAACCAGAGGTTTTACTCATAAAAGCTGCGTCCGCTCAGAACAGGCCAGAAACGTTTGGCACGCTACTTTCAAAGTTTGTGATCTATAAAGAAAACTTAACCTATAAAGAGCCTTCAGGTATCAGCCTCTGGGGGACTGGGGAACCAGTCTGGAGCCAGTCTGGGTTCAGGAAGCAGATCCCCCCAATCTGTGGAACCATTCTGGGTTCTGGAAGCAGAACCCACCCTTTCTGTGGAACCAGTCTGGGCTCAGGAAGCAGACCCCCCTCTGAAGAACCAGTCTGGGTTCTGGAAGTAGAGCCCCCCTCTGGGGAACCAGTCTGGCTTCAGGAAGCAGACCCCCCTCCCTTTGTGGAACCAGTCTGGCTTCAGGAAGCAGATCCCCCCCAATCTATGGAACCAGCCTGGGTTCAGGAAGCAGACCCCCCTCTGGGGAACCAGTCTGGGTTCAGGAAGCAGACCCCCCTCCCTCTGTGGAACCAGTCTGGGTTCAAGTAGCAGAACCCCCTCTCTACCTTTAAGATAAAACTTTCCTTTCTGATAAAGCTGATAGTCACAGATTCTCAGGGACCCTGAAACACCCCATGGTTCTGCTAGGGGGGGGTAGTCCCATGATGCACCTCTCCCTGTACATGGGACATTTATCTTCTCAGCAAGTTCTGGTTCTCCGTCTCAGCAGCAGGCCGGGTACAAAGACATAAACCCTAACCCCACCCCAGAAGACCCCCCAGCTGCTGTCAGAAGGGCTGGGGAGGATTTTACCCACGTGGGGGTGGGACAGTTCTGCCTGATCAGCGTTTTTTTTTTTTGCCATGTGGTCGAAAAGGCAGATAGCCCCCAGCCAGCCTCACGCGACTTTAGACTTTACACACCCAAATAATCTCTGTAGTTGTTGTTGTTATTTTGAAGGCCATAAAAAGGTGACATCACACAGATGTCCGCGTGCCAGGAGGCTGCGGGGGGAATCCCCGCCCCTCCCGTTTGCAGCTGGACGTCCTCTCTTAGGTGTCCACGTCCCGATAAATCACGACTGTCCCATCGGAAAAGTCCTTTCAAATATTCAAAAAAACAAAAATAAACCAACCCCTTCTCTGTTGCGATCTCCTCACGCACGAACGCTCGAGTTGTTTTACTTTCATTTTCAGCCGGGGGCCTGTCAGCGCGCACATCCGCCTTCATTTGGAGGTTTTTCTTACCCGGGGCAGTAGGTCTCTCGTGGAGTTTCACGCGAGGCCGCGGGTCAGAACCGGAGCCGGTGCTGATGGAGCTGGTGGAGCTGATGGAGTCTGGAGGCCCTGAGGCAGGAAGTGACTGAAACCCGGCAACCTGCGGCCGCCCTCTGTGCACGCGTGGGGGGGGGGGGGGCTCAGGGAAACCATCTGAACGTCAACCCCCCCCCACCTCCCCAGTTCACGGCTTCTGTAACAGCACAAAGAGTGGAAACAGGTTCACAGTGGACAAGAAGGGAGTTTTTAAACTAGAGGAAGTCTGGACAAAGTCCACGCGCGTGTCAGAAATTGAGGCCGCTAAAATCCACCAGTGGAAAAATTAACATTTTTTGATACTATCCAACAGAAACACAGACCAGTTACATCCCCATATAAATACTTGTCAGAAATAACATGAAGAATTATTATTTATTAAGTATGAACTTCCAACTATGTGAAATTCTTTTTTAAATGATCTAAACACACTTTATACTGTGCGAATATCAGTTTTTAGTGGTGATGCAGTTTACATTGAGCCATGTTATTTACTTTATTTACATATTAATAAGTCTACTTCCACAGTTTTGCACAGTTTTTTATTTTATTTTACATTAGGACAATGTATTTAACAACCCATTGTCTGCACCCACTTTATCCAGGTCAGGGTCAGGGGTGTGTTAGATGTGAATGTGGAAAAACAACCTTATCCCTTTAAAGCCTGATCCAAAAATAAAACAAAACCAAAAAAATACTTTTCTTTTGTTCTAAGTCTTTATTTGGCCTTTTAACAAAATATGTAAAAAGAAAAAAAAAAACATTTTTAATATTAATAATTTATTACTATGCGATGAGTCAAGATTATTTTTTGTGTAGTCTTCTGCCCCCTGTTATCAGGTGTATCTGATTGTGTACAATAGGATTTTGAACAAAGTTTTTACCCTTAAATTATGCAAAAGGTGTCAGATGCAAAACATTTCAGAAACCGTACGTATCAAATATGATACATTTGGCATTATAGGGTTATGCTTTCACAGTGATGTCACCCACCCGTCGATCCATTTCCTTTGACAGCAGTTCAGGTTCAGGTTGAAGGTCCGATGGAGCCTCGCCTAGCTGCAGAGTGCTGAGAGGTAAGCTCCAGAGGCCGTGCAGAGAGAAATTAGTGAAAAAGATCCATATTTCTTCTGCTGTCATCGCCCATTTTGCTCTCATTTCTGTGGCTTCTGCTCAAACTCAAGGAACACAATGCATGATTCCAGTTACGTTAAACACTGGTTTATTTTAGTCCAAAAAGCATTAAGAGCACTTTCACAATGATTATTATTTTCTTTTTTTTTTTTTTACACAATGTTCAAACTGGTAGCACCAGGGAGAAAAATAAATAAGACTGACAAACTGACAGCACAAGACGGGTCCAGAGGATGCTGCATTCCCATACACGTGGTCACCATCCGGACAAAACAAAAACGTCTCGGACAAAAAAAAAAAAAAGTTAAACCTCAGAACGAGGACAATAGTGAGAGTGGTTCTGCCACGAGGCGCTAGGGCGAATCGTTAGTGTTCTACGGATAGATTACGATCGACTTTACACTGAACGGAGGGATGAGAAAACAGTCTGGGGAAAACAAAGGGACTCCGCTTTCAGTAGATGCTACAGTGGGACGCTGACGGAGGCTCAAAGATCCCCCAGACTTAAAAACACCAACATTCTAAAAACAAAAGTTTGAGACTTATTGTGTTTTCTGGAAGAATTTCGGAGATGGTCGTTTCCCATCATGGCTGGATAGATTTTAGACGGCTGGTTTTTCTGTTTGGTCTGGACTCAAAAAATAAAAAATAAAAAACAAATCCAATCAAATACTGGGAGCTTTAACATGAAAGACGAAGCCTTAGACTTTCTTGAGTCCCCGATAACTAAAAGCCAAAGTTAGCATGCTAGCAGAGCCAGTGATGATGGTGAAAGTGTACTAACGTACGGTAACAAATTATTGTCTACAAACACAAAGCAACGTAAAATCACTACGATTAACTGATGAGTCTCCACTTCCTCGTTGGTTACTGCGGTCGGGTTTGGGCAGAGAGAGTGTGATGGGCAAAAACACTGAATATAAGAAATGGACAAAACCACCTCGCCATTAAACCTTTCATTTATGAGTGTGAAGCACTTTTAGAAACCGGACCATGATTGAACAAAAAAAAAAGAAAGAAAAAAAAAGGAAGAGATGGACAAATATGGCCCCCTTTTCCACTTGTGCCTACTTGGTGTGAGGCCACCCCTTTGTAGGCTTTTTTTCAGGGACAAAACGTGACCGCTACAAACTGCTGGCCACTGATTGGCTGGAGAGTGCCGTTGCTACTAGGGGAAACAGGTCTGTACCTGCTAACACTCTTCTGTTCAAGACTGAATCTATCCGATGAGATCTTCAGGTCATGAGAGACACTGACTGTGTTCCTGGACACAGATTTTTGAGAGCTGCTCTTTAAGGCCCAGCCTCATTCGTTTCTAGTCTGACAGCAGGTGGTTTTGCCCATCTTTTATATCAAAGCTTTGGACAGAGAGCAGAGGCCTGGAGGGCCCACGTGTGGAGGGACTGCTTGACACGATGATCTGTACACCTTCAGTCACGGGCGTCTGCGGACCGGACGACTCGCTCACCTGCCCGCCTCTCCCCCCCCTCCCCCCGAACACGGATTTGACTCTGACACTGGTCGGCAAGCGTTCTGCATCTGAGTTCTCAGGAGGAGAGCGACTTTCACCCCGGGCAAAAGCTGGCTGTCCAAACCGAACGCGTCCGGGCCGTGAACGGCGACAGTTCGTCCTCCGAGGCACAAAGTCGGACCCCCCCCCCCCCCCCGCGGAACCCCGAATGCAGAGCCCTGGCTTCAGCTTTCGCTGGAAAACTACGCGTGGTCTTTGATCCGGTTCTTAGACGGAAAACAACTGGCTCGGGGGGCGGGGGGGCTGGCTAGTGGAGGGAGGAGGAGGAGGGTGTGTCCGACGGGTGGGCGGCCGGGCCGGGGGCCTGCGGGGCGGCGCCGGGGCCGGCGCCCAGGGCGGCGGGGGCCGGGCGGGGGTTGAGGCGGGGCGGCAGGGGGTTGGAGGGGCGGATGAGGGGCGGGGGCTGCTGCAGGTTGGGGCGGGGCTGCAGGAAGCGGGCCTGCTGCTGGAGGGGCGGCGGCTGGCGGTGCAGGGCGGGCGTGGTCGGGAGGGAGGGCCTCAGGAGCGGGGGGGGGCTGGTGCAGGGCGGAGGACGAGGCGCCGGGCGTCACGGGGGTCTGGGCGGCGGAGGACGAGGAGGCGGCGGCGGGGGACGCCCCCGTGGACGTGACCTGAGCCTGTGGAGAGGAGAAGGCGGGCCATTACTCACAGCAGGAATTCTGCTGCTAAAGGTTTCCCCAAAAGGGAATACCGTATTTGCCGCACTACAGTTGAACAGTAATGTATGTATCTGACAAATTTTGCATATTTTACATCATAAAATGTGTAAATGTATAAAATATATTACAAATATTTCACTATCAAACTAAAAGAATCCAGTCCGAACATAATAAAACAGCTGTTCATTCATTTTGGGAGTGAACGAAGTTGTCAGATCGCTGGTTTGTATTCGATTAATAAAGTTTGGCTGACTTATCTGACTGTTTGGTTGACATTCTCTTTAGCGCAGCTACATCTAGTGGATGCAAAACGCAGCCCCAGCCACAACTGGAGCTTCTACTCTATGTGCCTTATAATGCGGTGCGCCTTATAGTGCAGAAAATACGGTATTGGGAGGATTTGAGTGACGCCTAATTGGGTTTAGTAAAAGAAGAAAAAAAGAAGAAGTTTACTTCCTGTCTCATTAGGCCTCACTAGTTGTCAGTGACTGGGAGGCAAACAGCCTGATCTTTCACCAAGTCAGAAAACATGCTGACTTGACGAGTTAAGATGCAGCATGCAGGTGGAGCTGGCGGAGTTGTGCCCGCAGCAGAACTCCGCCAGCTCACATCCGAGCGTGTAAAGTTAAAGGTCTCGCCTCCTCGTCCTCCTCGTCGGTGCTCTTCCCCGACGGGGTGGTGGAGTTGTTCTTGCCCTCCTCTCCTGAGGTGGCGCCGTCGCCGTTGGGGGCCCGGGTTCCCTGCTCCGCCTCCCACTCCTGCAACACCTCCTCCAGGTTGAAGCGCCGCCGGTAGTTCACGAAGAAGTTCTTCACCTGGCCCACCGTCTTGTTGCCGATCACGTCGGCTATGGCCTGGAAGTCTTTTCCGTACTTCCGGACACCTGGAAACGCATAAAAAACAAATCAAGACAAGAAAGGTGTACGTCAAATAGCTCTTGTTATGACAGAAGGAAGCTAACTTCATAAGAAAAGACTGATACAGGATTTCTTATATCTGTGACACAGCCTGTGGTGTCTGGTAATAAGTAATTATCTATATTTATGACTAACATAGGAGATGCCAAACATGGTGATCACTTCAATAATGCGATTAAACAAAGGTTTGTAAAATTATGTGAAGGTGACAGAGCCACAGACCCCCAAAACAGTTCTCTCATGTCCTTATATCACCTCCCCATTCCCCAGAAGTGTTCTTAAACTTTCAAGTGAGCAGAGTTTTTGATCACATGAATGGAAGCTGTAATGATATTTAACCGGAGAGCTTCCAAAGCTTCAGATGCAGCTCACTGTTCTGGGTTAGTCCCTGAAAGACACACCTGAAAGAGGATCAGGCCTTGTGAGCCTCTGACCTCTTCAGTAAATCATTTTCTGTAATCCGGACAAATGTCTACATCCCACTGAACCATCAGGCCACGAAAGTCCCCCGGACCATGATTTACTCTTTAAAACATGCAATGAATTACTACGGCACTTTGAGAAGTTGCAGAAATCAGAGGTTCATTCCAACATATCGAGTTAGAGTCCAATTAATGGAGAGCAGCATCTAAGAGATCCAACAATAAAAGCTTTAGGTGCCAGGTGCCCTCCCAGGTTGGATTGTTGTTTAATTCTAAATCCCAACCAGAGCAGAACCGGGTAGAGGGAGGGACAGCAACACAATCGTAAGGTTTGGTGGACAAAAACACAGAAAAAAAGCTATCAGGAAACCAAAACCACAAGCTAAATTGAATTAGAGTCTAAAAATGTTATAGATGAGAAAGCCAATCTCATTCCACAGTAACAACACAATGAGCCACTGAAGTCTTTGTGAAATTGGCGATCACAAATTAGCCGGACGCTAACGAGTGTGGGCTCTCAGAGCCTTTCCTCTGAAAACAGCCGAGTCAGCGGCTCAAACATACCTTGGACAGCCAGCAGCTGCTCGTCTGTTGTCCAGCGGGCGTTGACCTTCTGGTTAGACTGTAAGATGAAGGAGAGTTTAGGCGAACTTCGGGTGGAAGCTGACTGGACGTCATGTTTGGTTTCAACAGCGAGAGGACACGGAAAAGTCGCTGGCGCTTATTTTAACGTGTGCACATACCTCAGGCAGCTTGAACTCTTCAATTCCGGAGTCCAACATGTGTTTGAGTCCACTGTTCATCTGTTTGGAGTTCTGGACCTGAGGGGCGGAGCAGAGCCACTTAAGTGAGGTCAGAAAAACCCACCTTAAAGTTAGTGCGATTCTTCCCATTTCCACGTATTTTACATGAAATCATAGCTTCCCGACCAGAAGATCCCTTTTTTTTTTTACTGTTGTTTAAATAAGTCATCTGGCTTTAAACCGTTGATTTTAGGATATCAGGTTGCAGGGAAGATGAACAAATAGGGTCAGACCCTGTGGCCTGTTGGATCAGACATTTAAAGAAATGTAATAACATGGCTGCATGCTTACACCAAGGAGCATGAAATCGTCTCCGGCTCTAGAACCTTCATAGAACCGTCTCCATTCAGGAACTGGTTTTGTTAAAAAGGAGTACCAAATCAGGCAGAGATGAACTGAACGTGTTTGTGTGGCCGACCTGGATGGTTGAGTCAGTGATGGGAAAAGTAGGAAAATACATATTTCCCAACGTTGGGGTTGAGCCGTTACCTGTCTCTTCAGGGACACCAGCTCCATGTCCAGCTGGCGGAGCAGCGTGTTGGCCGCCGAGGAGCTGCAGGACACGGCCACCACGTCCTCCTGGGTCAGGTACATGCCCTTAGGGGGGCGGCAGCGGGAGCGCTGGTGGTGCCGGTGCTGGAGGGTCTGGTGCTCCCGCCGGCCCAGGGCCACCTTAGAACCCGGCATGGGCGGCTCGGGCTGGTTCTGGAGGGGAGAGGATACGGAGCAGAGGATGGGCGTTTAACAAACAAGTGGCTTCAAATACAACCGAATGTTTAGAGGACATTGAACTTTGAATATGTTGAACATAAACAAAGAAACTTAACACAGGAGTGTATTTAAAAATGAGACTTGAATAAATTACTGCTTGATACTCTGAACTGGCAAAGCAGTCTCCTCATCTCTCTCCTGTTTGTCAGGAGTATATCTGTCAGCCAAGGTGCCGTTGCTACGGTACCCGTTACATCCACCTCACCTCTGGTTCACTAATAAAAGATCCTCGGAACGAATTATTTTAATGTTTCGAGTTCCACTTTACAAGTGTCTGAAAGCATGACAGAAATCCTGAGTGCTAACAACACTGAACAGAAATGTCACATAAAGAATGATGATTATTTGTGTAATAATAATAATAATAATAATAATTGTGTTTTATTATCATTCATTTGTTTTTTTCATTGATAACTGTCAAAGATTTTATTTCATTTACACTCATGAAAACAAAACTGGCATCAAGCTTTTATTAGATCTTGTTTTAGAGGAAACTTTTGACCATTATTCAGACTTGAAAATGATAAAACTAAATAAAAAGCTTTGAGACAACTTTGGATACAAAATTTCTTATTCTGAATTTGAGTTGGTGTTGTGTCATGTTTATATTATATCTTATATATATTATATCTGCACAGTATTCATTATCAGAATAAAATGGTTGTTCTGAATTTCCTGTCAGCATTTTTGCACTTCATTTAAGAAAAATGACATAGAACAAAAAACAGTGATATGACTAAAGGTCTTCAATGTGGCCTTATTCTATCCGTTTTGTGCATTTTTCAGCCTTCTTCATGGCTAACATGTTCCACCCACTTGGTGGTGTCACATTCCCGGTGGCGACCCCTGCTGTTCAGATAGGAGACTGCAAGGGGTCCACCTCTGTGTTGGGATGTAACCGTGGATAAAGCGTTAACACACCTCTTTCTTGGGTTCCTTGCTGGGATCGTAGTCAGTGTCATTTGGTTCGATCGGATTGGCCTCCTCCATCTCTTCATCACTGAAGCAAAAACATTTACCCGTCGGACAATCGGAATTACGGGGCTCATTTGTGTGACAGAGCCAGAAATCTGCAGGTTGTGCTACAAAAGAGACACGCACATATGGAAATATATACAGAACCTGCTCAGGTTTTTATCAGCACGTGGTCCCTGTCCCACCAAAGAGAAAAACTTTCTCTTTAAAAGACGTCACTTTTCATAAGTCTTTCTCTTTGGTGAGAAAAAATAAACTGCACGTAAAAACGCAAATCAAATGCAGATAGCAGCATCTGAAGAGATTTTAATAATTAATTTCCTAAATAATTAGTGTTACTGGCAACTTAATGTCAAATATTCTCCTTTATCCTGAGAAAACAGGACTCCAAACCAAAAGTATTGTATTTTTTCTGAAATATCTTCATTATATGTCTAAAAAACGCCCCAGACTGAGAGATGCTAAATTAGTGTGTGGGGGGGAATCGAATAGATGCTAATATGAATATAAACTTTAAACCTTTTAAGAGCAGTTAGCCTGAAATGTGGCTTCCAACTGACATCAGAACAGGATGAGGACGGTGTGGAGCCAGGTCACACTTTTCACCTTAAGTCTAAATCATCTGCTTCCATTTAAAAAAGCTTTTTTTCTTTTTTCTTTTTTTTTTCAAACACCACCACTCCGAGACGTCTGGCCCGGATGGACCATGCCGGTACCTGTCATCCTGGTTGCTCCTAGTGGCCAGTTTTCGGGCCTGTCTGTCCATCAGACTCGTTCTGGACCGAGTCTTCTTCCACGAATAGTAGTACTTCACGAGGCTTGAGATGGATTTGTCTGGTAACTGGGGGGGACACACACATACGTATCACAGGAGCTTTCAAAGCTGCACTAAACAATCTGAATCAAACTGTATGAAAGTCCGTTACTGAGGGGAACTGGGTCAGATAATCGGGACTGCTGAGGTGCTCAGTGCCTTATTTAAAGGCACTAAAAGTGAAAAGAAAAAGAGATGAGGTTTCATATGAATTGCCTGTGCGGTTCCAACTATGTATGGAGCAGAAAATCGTGAAAAAAGGTTCTGCAAACACGGATTCTCGTAGCAGAGTCGGGCCTTTACCATCTGCTGGATGCGGTGGAAGCTTTTGCCGTGGAAGCTGAAGGCCTGCTCAAACAGCACCTTGTCCTCCACCGTCCACTCGTCTGGGAACGGGGTGAAGTTTGGCAGGTCGGCCAGAGACTTCTCGATGTTGTGTTTGTGCCAAAACAGCATGCCAAGAGCCTGAATGCACACACACAAACACACACACACACACAGTTAACCCATACATGAGCTCCTGAACCTGCTTCCAGTGAAACACAAAGTGATTTCTTTCCTTTTTCCAGCTGGTAAATAAACAGAACTGCATCACTCTTTAAAAACTGCTGTTCCTTAATTAACCCAGAGAAGCAGGCATGGTTATCATCAAATACCTGCAAAAGAAATCTTCGAATTTCAAGAGGAAATAAACATGTTTACAGCCTGAAACAATGATTTTGTTTCTGTAATTAAGGTCCTCTTTTATAAAAACTTGATTTTCTCTGACAAAATTCTGATAAATAAGGTATTCAAACTGTGGCTGCTCCCCAAAAGAGCCTTGTTTTCTCTGCTTTTTCAGCCAGACCTTTGCAATAACCCCAGTTTGACCCTTTGCAGAGATGGTTCTTCCTTCTGATCAAAGTGTGGAATGGGATCGCCAGGTTTAATAAAAAAAAGAAACCATGCTGGGACGCTACCTTTGGCAAACACTCAAGATATCCCGACCGAGGAGGTGTGACCGCCACACGAAATGTCTTTACTCAATGAGGGAGAAAAATGGAATCAATTCAAAATTCAATAAGCCCACAAAGGTTTCCCTTGGCTGAGGTGGAGAGGTCGGCGCCTCAGAAAATGACTGGACAAAGCGTGAGTGGAATAAAAGGCTGGAAACGGCGGGGCCGCTCACCTGCTCCACGTTGTATCCGTGTTTCTCCTTGGCGATGGCGATGTATTCATCCACTGTGGAGGCAGACGCGGGACATTAGTTTGGGCTGGCGTTAAGGCAAAAGAGGAGGGGTAGCTGAGCCAGAGCGACTTCACTCACGCTTGGAGTCCACGATGGTGTGGTAGGGAGACCAGACCAGCATCCCTCCGCTGTCTTTGTCTGTGTACTTGGTGGAGCCTGTGGAGAAAGAGAGCTTTAATACGACTCAAAACCCAAACTCTGAGTCCAACTGATGCTCTCCCAAACTTTCCCTGCATGCTTTAAGTCATAACAAGTTATTTACATTTAACATTGAGCAGATGCTTTTATCCAAAGGCCCTACACAAGCGTCCGTGGATGACATTTTCGTGTTCTCCCTATTACTCTTGATTTACTTTTATTTCAAATGTACGGCTTACTATTAGTCTTTTTCTAAACAAACCCCCTAAGTCCAACTTAAAAGTTTATAGGACGTAAAATCAGGATGATTGCAGTCACCAATCTTCTTTGAATCGATGTAAATTCAGAGAAATTAGTGGCTTTTTCTAGAAGTAAATTAGGCAGCTTTGATCATTCCATAGAATGAATTGTTTTTACAAGTTGTGAGTGAAGATGTGGGGTAGCCTGGGGTCCGCTTGGTTCTCCAGTCTATTTGTGTACACGTGGTTTTTTACGCCGCGTACTGCAAAAAACAACTGAGGTCAACTTTAAACTAACTCTGCTGCCATGTAGTCTGAACACACAGACCCACACAGAGTCAGACACAGAACCACAGGGACCCACACAGAGCCACACAGAGACCCAGAAAGAACCACACAGACCCACCAAGAGCCACACAGACCCACCAAGAGCCACACAGACCCACTGAGAGCCACACAGACCCACACAGAGACCCACACAGACCCACAGAGACCCACACAGACTCACACAGAGACCAAGAGAGACCCACACAGAGA